CTGCCTCTCTGTCCATCTTTATCTGTTTGTCTATCTTTCTGTCTTCTTCTATCTTTCTGTCTGTTTGTCTTTTGGTTCATGTGTCTGCCAGTTTTTAGTCTGTCTTTCTATTGCCTTTCTCTCTTTCTATCTGTCCTCCTGTTTGCCCATTGTCTGTCTTTCTGCCTGTCTTTTCTTCTACCTATCTGCCTCTCTCTCTTTAAGTTCATTGATCTTTCTGTCCATCTTTTTGTCTGTCCATCTTTCCATCCTGTCTGCCTGTCTTTCTGTATCTGTCTGTTGTGTCTTTATGTCAGTCTGTCTTTTCTTCTGTCTGCCTGATTTTCTGTCTTTTTTGGGTCTTTCAGTGTACCCATCTTCCCATCTTTCTGTACATCTATTCATCTGTTCATCTTTCTGTCTGTTTGCCTGGCTTTCTGTTTGTTTTTCTGTCTGTTTGGGGTTTTCTCTATATGTCTTTCTGTTTGCTTTTGTTCATCTGTATTTCTAAATGCCTATGTTTCTGTCTATCTGTCTCTGTCCTTCTGTCAGTCTATCATTCTGTCCACCTGCTCATCTTTCCTTCTGTCTTTGTGGTGTCTGTCTTTCAGTCCATCTTCTGTCCATTTTTTCTTCCTGTTGATTATTTCTCTTTCTGTCCATCTATCTTTTTGTTTAGTTTTTGAGAGAGGGTCTCACTATGCTGTTTCAGGCTGGCCTTGAACTATGTAGTCCAGGCTGGCCTGAAACTCATGGCGATCCTCTTACCTCAGCTTCTGAGTGCTGGGGTCACAGGTGTGTATCACCATACCTGGCATCTGTCCATCTGTCTTTCTATCCCTTTATATGATTACTTTTCTTCATTTCTTTCTGTCTGTCCATCTATCTTTATGTTTGCCTCTATCTTTCTTTCAGTTTATCTGTGTCTGTCCATTTAAAAAACAAAAAAGATTATCTCCTGACTAGTCCTTAAAATATGGTAAATCAGCTTCCATGGAGCCAAAACAAGTGTGTAAGCTTAGAACCACAAAAGTATACAGGAATTCTCTTCTAGAATGTTATTATTTACAGTCAGCCTGAAGGAGTATGAGTGTTTCTAGTTTCTACATTCTTATCTGTGTTTATTTTGAAGTTTGATAACTATTTTTCTATCCAGAAATCTGTTGTAGAAATAGAGAACAGTACTTGGCATTCCTTAGATATAAAACATTCTTACAAATGTCATTTTTCCCTGCTGTGTCCTGGCCTTATGCTTTACTGCTGTTTGGCCCCTCAGACTGTGTCCCCCATTTTTCTTGGGCAGTATCTCTCTTGCCTCCTGGAGACCTTCAGAGGCTGCACTCCTTCTTGATGCCTTCTGCTGTCCCTCACTCATCACATCCTTGGTTCCAAGTTTCTGGGGCTCCTCCCTCTACCATGATCCTCTCCATCTGTCCTGTGTTCTTACCTCTGCAGTCCCACCCGTTTCAGTGAGTTTGAGTATCAGCCCAAGACATCAAGCCTTCCTGGGTGAACTTTAGCTCATCGAGTTTTTTCTTTTCCAAACTTCCACAGCAGTTAGCCTGGGGAACACAATTTAGCACTTAGTTAGATATTGCCTTTTTATTTGTTGTGTTAGTTTCATCTTTCCGTTAAGGCTACAGACTCCTTCAAAAGCAACACATCTTGTATTTTGCTCCACTAAACTTTTCCAGCTTTATTTTTTTTTTTCAGGGAGTAGGAAAAGAGGGAACACTTCCAAACTAGTTTCATAAGGCAGTACAATCTTAATACCTGAACCTGACAAACACAACACAAGAAAGGAAAACTACACAGCAGTCTCTGTCATAACATAGATAAAAAACCCTGTAATCAAAATATCAGCAAGTCAAATTCTGGTATGTATCAAAAGAATAGTATATCACAACAAATACATCTTGCATTTTTAAAGAATTTCTTCACATTCTCCAGTAGGGACACAGGAAATACTTCCTTTTCTACCAGTAAATGTTGATGATCTCTCAGAAGGCTGAACAGGTGCACATGAGACTTTCTACTCAGCACTGTAATATTTGGTATTAGAACTATCTGCCATACTTACTAACTTGAGTTGAGTGATAAAGATCAGCTCCAAATCTAATGTCCAGTTGAGCAAATCACACTGTCTCTGCACCCATTTTTCTGTCTGCAAAATGGTGATAAAAGTGTCTTTGCAATTTATTTCAGAGTTACTGTGAGGCTTAAACCAGATGGCTGTGAGGAGCTTTGGCACTTTTCTCTGCCTCCACTATATGAAACTCACATTTCTTTTTGAAGGAGTCACAGGGGGAAGTAGAGTTTGGCATTTGTAGAGTAGTCACTTTCTAACCTCTGTCAGAATGGTGAGCTATGCTCAGGGAAACCTGAGTACCGTTGGAAAAGTAGGAAGAGAATAAACTATCATTGGCCTCTTATTTTCCTTCAGGTATCATATCACAGCCATGGAAAATGCAAAGGTCGTGAGATTTTGAAGTGTGACATCTCTGGCGAAGTTAGTCTTTGCTGCTCTTAACTTGCCTTTTCTGTCCTCTTGTCCTCAATCCTCCTGCTGTCTTACTTCCTAAAGCAAAACACAGAGCGAGGAAAGGTTGGTGAAGACATCACAGCTAGGGATGAATGGATTCTCTCCTCTATTTGATTTCTTCAAAGTTCAAAAGGGAAATATTACTTGCCATCATTAAAGTTGACATAATTTTCTTCTGTATTTTTTTTGTTGTTTATTGAAACAAGGTCTGATTATGTAGTTCAGGCTGACTTTGAACTCACGATGGGCTGGGCATGTAGCTCAGTGGCACAGCACCTGCCTGGCAAGCGCAAAGTCCTGAGTTTGATTCCTGGTTAAAAAAGAATGAACTCACTATGTAGCCCAGGTTGGCCTCAGACTTGTGGCGGTCATCCTGCTGCAGCTTCCTAAGTGCCGGGACTACCGGTCTGCACCACCATGCCTGGCTTTTTCCTTTATATGTATATCTCTTTCCCCCTTTCCTTTTTTCCTTTTTTGTCTTTATCATCTCATGATTTTTTGCCTTTCTCCTTTCTTCCTGTCCTTGGTCCTTATTTTAGTTGATGATAACACCAAAGTCTATTTGTTATCATCCATGGTATTTCTTAAGATATCTTTTGTTTTCTGCTTTTAGTTAAAATACAACTATTTGTGGCAGAAGTTTATGTATCTCTTTATTAAAGGAAATTTTAGAATGTATTTTTTATTAGTGTTTAATACTGGAATGATTTTTTCCTCCTTTGAGTTAGTATTTCCCAGGGAGGCTTGAGGCATATATTTGTGTAACTTTTTCCAGAAACAATAGCATTTAAAAGGAGAATTTTTGGAAAAAAGATGCAAATATGCAGGCCTGGCACTGGAATTTCCACTGTTGTGGTGGGACAGACATTTTTCTTCCAGTGGCTTCTTTTCTAGACTTTGTGTTAAAAGTGGCTAGTGCAATGGGTGTGTGTGTGTATGTGTGTGTGTGTCTGTGTGTGCATGCACACACGTGGGGCATTGGGCCTTAGCAAGCACATGCCAGGGGTGTCAACATGTGGGTGCTAGTGTTGAGTTTGGTGTGAACTCAGAAAAGTTTGGTGCTTAAAAAAATGCCTGTTTTCCTACCAAAAGAAGTGATTTGGAAGGTGTTATGGCTTGTATCTAGATGACCCCCCAGAGCCTCCTATGCTCATAGGTGGGGCATTCTGGAACTTGCTGGATCTAGGGTGTGTGATGCTGGGATTAAGGCTGTGTAGTACTAAATTAGTCCACTGATTGGAATTAGCATAGCTCTAGGTGTACATAATGGAAGCCCCACCCTGGGTGTGAGTGGCATCAATCAATAGGCTTATAGCCTGGATGGAATATAAAAGGAGAGAGGGAAGGCAGTCTTGACGCTTGCTGCTTCCCTGCCTCCTGTCTACTTTGCCATGGACTGTTTTTCCTCTGCGATGTCTCTTTGCCATGTTGCCCTGCCTTGGAGCCCGCTGTATATGGGTTGAAACCTCTACAAACTGAGCTAAATAAACCTTTCTTTCTTTAACTTAGGGTGTTGGGTATTTTGTCTCAGCAACAGAAAATATAATTAAGAAAGGGTGAGGACTTTCTCATACTGATGTCTGTATTTTCCAGCCCTAGCTTATAAATGTGCTATTTTGTAGATATTCAATGAGTGTTGGATGAAAAACGTGAACCTGCAACAGCTTCCTTATTGGTAAAACCAGGGGTTGCGGGTCCAAAGGAGCCACAGAAAGGGTCTTTTTAAACTCCCGATACGCTAGTGTTCAAGAGTAACCCACGGTGTTCCTTATTAAGGCTAAAGTGCAGATTGGAGCCGTGCCTGAGGAAGTAGCTGACTCCTATAACCTTCCAGAACACCCTGGAGAGGCGCTGGGACCACATTCCTTTGGACATTCTTTGTCCCAGCTTTTCAGGACATAACCAGTAGTATTCTGGAAGAAGGGAAACATAACTTCCCACGCTTCGTTCCCTTTCCGGGAAGGGCACCGCGTGGCGTGGGCACCACACCTGCTCCAGGCTCCTAGGGGGAAAATACTATAGCTTTCCCGAACCTTGAAAAGCGCTATTCTCTAGGTGTGCTAAATGTTTCCTTCCTAGCAGGGCAGAGAGCCAAAGATGCCCCTCGGGTCACAATGGGCTTGACATGTTGCGGGGACCCGCCCTCCCTGCCCAGCTTCGCCAGGCAAGCAGGTGACCAGCAGCAGGCGCGGAGTGAGTTACCTGGCACGGGGCGGGGCGGGCGTCGGGGGCGGGGCGTTGCTGGGAGCCTTCGCCGTGATTGGTCGGCGTCGCGCTTGTCTCCATGTGCCGTGCGGAGGCACAACAT